CTTATTTTAGCCTTCTCACCACTGAAACTCAGAGGAATTTTAGTAGTGGGAAGGGTGTTTTGAGGTCCCAAATAGGAGAGGGTCATCCCCTCTCCTTGTGTCTTCAATACTTACTTCTTCAATACTTGCTTCATTAGCCTCATGTGTGAGCATGTTTGTTAAGCTTATGTTGGCCATATCTTAGCTTGTATTTGGGCTTATTTTAGCATGGCATGCCATTATTTTTACTTGGTTTTGTCACTCCATGCATGTCTAATACACTTGTAGTGTAAATCACACAAACTAGTCTTGTATGCTTTATGAAGTAGCATGCCATTCTAGCTTGTTTTGTTTCCATTTCAGCATGTTTTTTGTGATTTTTTGCCATGTCATATCTCTGTTAGGGTTTGGTCTGGTCACCTCTTGCATGCCTTATGCACTTGTAGTGCAATTCCATGAAATAGTCTAACATGCATCATGCTTTAACATGTCATTCTAGCATGCTTTTGGCTTAACTTCAAGAAGCTTTTGTCCATGTTTTGGCATGCTTAAGCTCTAATTTTGGTTTTTTTTAGCCATGCATGACTTGCTTTGTATAGCCATGGTTCAATCGAGCTTGTTAGCTTTGTGCACCAAGTCCACTAGCATGCATTACTTGGCCTATTTGAATGATTTGGAATCATTTCATATGTGATTTCAGTTCATGTTTCATGCTCATGAACTTGCATTTATCACTCACTCAATGCATTGGAGGGTTTGCCCCTTTATGCCGTAACATGAACCATTGTGTATGCCTTCATGCCTTAGCTTGCGAGCCATCATTTCAATGTGTTTTTGGGGTTATCTTGCCATGATATAACTCTAATTTTTATTGGTTAAGTCATCTCATGCTTGGTCCTAATAGGTGTAGTGTAATCCACCTTATTTGCCTTATATGCCTTATATCCTTCATGATAGCTTGTTTTGGCTTCCTTCCATACATATTTTAGTATCATTTTGACATGTTCTAGAACTGTTTTGGGTTGCCTTTTCCATATCATTCATGCTTTGTATAGCTGTAGTGCAATTGGCCTTGCTAGCTTTGTGTTTTGTTGACTCATGCATGCTATCTTTGAGCTATTTATATGATTTGGCATCATTTAATACTTCATCTCAGAGCTTGTAGCATTGTCATGTTTCCACTTCTTTCATGCTTTGAATGCCTTTAAGCGTTGTGCATTGTTGCCTTGCTTATGGCTTAGCTTGTATGCTTGCATGCTTAGGTCTTTGAACCCCTATTTCAGCATGTTTAGGTTTTTGTTTTGACCTATTTTAGCTCTGTCCATGGTTGGTTCATGCATTTGTGCCATGTATTGTGTGTCTCCTTTGTAATCCTCTTTGCTAGTTGTAATGCTTAAGGACCATTGCATGCTTTACTTGTGTTGGTTAAATGATTTGGCATCGTTCTTACCTTATTTCAGTGCATTTAGTGTTGTTACACTTCCGCATTTATCACTCCTAGAGCCCTCTCGAGAGTTGTGCTCTTAGGCCTAGTTGGTTGGCCAATGCATTGTGCATGCATGCTTTGTCTTTCGGTGCCTTTGTTTTGGTGTTATGGCCACTAATTTGGGCATGGTCGAGGTCTATTCATTTTGGTTTAAGTCCATTATGCATTGTGTATGCCATGTAGTTCATAGCATTGAGTATGCCATGTTGTTTGCACGATTGATTTAGCATTGTATATACCATGTTGTTTGCATGCTTAGGTCATATTGCATCGAGTATGCCATATTGATCATTGCATTTGTGTATGCCATGTTTATTGCATTGTGTATGCTAGTATGTTAATTGCAGGTTTGCATGCTTGTCACTTGCATGTTTGCATGCTTAAGTTGCATTGCATGTTTTGCATGCTCAAGTCGCATTGTGTACGCCATGCTTTTGTTGCATTGTGTTTGGAATAGGTATTAGTCCAAATATGGGAAACGAGGAGCGTTTCATACTTAAAGTGATGAAAAGTGCCTTAATTCCCGGTCGCTGACGCTCTTGATCATACATGATAGTGTTCTAGGCCTTATGTGTTTACTTGTGCATTCATTTTACATTGAATTGTGCAACTTCGCCTCTTGGCCATCATGCATTGAAATACGTGATTGGTGGCCCGAGGGTCGAGAACCACACTCCCTTGAGCTCATGACATGATAGGGAGGGTGGTTGTGCACACATATCTTGCAAATACATTGCCATGCCTTTTCTTGCTCTCTGTTGCAACAAACTGGAATTCAGCAGCAACAACTAGTCGGCCGACAAGTATTACTAGCTGGCCGACCACTTTTTCTGGTTTTCAACACAGAAAGTGGTCGGCAGGTGGTCTCCTTCCTCAACAACTGGTCGGTAGCCCTCCCACAGGTTCCCATGCTGGAGTTTCATCTTTCTGGAGCTTTGTGCAGTGTTCTGGAAACAATTGCAAACAGAGGCAAATTGGGGCATCGCAACGGATTTCTGAACGAGGCGACCGAGCATGCATCCAGTCTTCTCCCTCTGAGAACCTCTTTCTTTACTGCTCTATTTAGCTTCTTTACTTAGCTAGATTAAGCATTCGTTTTGTACTTCAATAGTTAATGCGTTTAGCTATTTCAATTTGTTTTGTAATAAGTAGTTAACTAGGATTAGTTAATTAGTTTGTTGTGTAATAATTAGTTTAATTAGTTTAGATTAGTTAGTTAGCTTCTTATTCGGTCTCTCCCTCGAGAGGGCCTATTATTGTAATAAGCGTGCATGTGTGTGATGCATGTCTTCTAACCTCCATTTCTTTCTCCCTTTTACTTTACCGCTTATGATGGTTAGTTTTAGGGCATATTTCATTTAGCATACCTTATGCTTTGCATGCGTGCATCCATTCATCTGTATTGCATGCACCAGGCTCGGTGCATCATACTAACTGCATTGTATTTCAATACCTATTTGAATACATGTATCAAGTTGCATTTCACATGACATTCTAGAATAGCCGAGCCTATTTTAGTCGCATTCTCGCATGCGTTGCATTAGCCATCTTAACATGAACTAGGGTCACGCATGATTTCTAACTAGTTCTTTGTTTTGGCTCGGAGTACATTGTGAGTGTTTACGCTTTAGCATACTGCATGTGTGTTAATGTGGCCATGAAAGCATGCTTGCCATAAGGCTAACTGCTTATTTGATATAACTGCCTAAATGCCTGTGGGTGAAGGTTGGATTACTTGAATTGGAACAATTCATTAAAATCCCTAATTTAGCCTACTTACAAGTAGCAAACTCCAAACCATTTTCAAATGAATATGCAATGTTTTGTTCCAACTTAGGCGATCTAGTCTATACTTGTATGCTGTGCGCATCACATAGTAATTCTAGGTTTAATAACCGGAATAAGAGCACATGTGTTTTCAAAAACAAAATATTATGTTTAGTATAGGCCGATCTTTGATCGGGCGAGCGGGGGTGCTTATTACATGACCTTCCCCTCTCGTAGCCAAGTTCCCGAGCCGAGACAACTTTGGTGATGACAGACACGTAGCCTTAGGCATGAGTCAAGGTTTCCTAAATTCTCCCAAAATAAAATATTTAGGTGGCGACTCTGTATCTGGCAAAGCAGTCCATGTTTGGCACTTCTTTATTAAAATCAGTTTTCTAAAACGATTTGTTAGATTTGGACTCTTTGGTGATTTATCGATCTCATATCGCATATTGTGAGATTAGATTTAGAACCGTGACATTGAGTCTGAACTGTAGTAGCTCAGAACAAAACGAGATTCGCGCCCTCCCAGGCGCGGAGCTCGGAGAGTTCCTGGAAGCGAGTCTACAGCCGCGTTGCATGTCATCATGTTTAGTCCGCCACCACAACTTGGCATCACCGGAAAAATACATTATGGCCATAGAAATCCTTGTCTCCTCAGCATCGGCTTTGGCTTTCGCAGCTTTGAAATATTGCCCCATATCAAAAAGAAAGTTGTCTAACTCCTTGGCATCTCGGGGCGCCACCATAGGCACGGGGCTCGGGCGCATGCGCCCTAATGAATTCCTTGCCACCACTAGGTGCATTGCCAAAGGCACGGGTAAGAACACCAACCTGGCCACTGAGGTCTTCAAACTCTACTCTGAGTTCAGTGACAACATCCTCAAAATCTTGCCCTTGTGTAGGGCCATAAGTTTGCTCAAGATCATAAACCCGTTGCTCAAGGGTGGCTAATAAAGCTGCCATGGCCTCCATGTTGTCCATACGCTGCTCCAAGAATTGTGAGATTAGATTTAGAACCGTGACATTGAGTCTGAACTATAGTCGCTCAGAACAAAATGAGATTCACGCCCTCACAGGTGCGGAGCTCGAAGAGTTCCCGGAAGCGAGTCTGTAGCTGCGTTGCATGTCATCATGTTTAGTCCGCCACCACAACATGGCATCATCAGACAAATACATTATGGCCATAGAAATCCTTGTCTCCTCAGCATCGGCTTTGGCTTTCTCAGCTTTGAAATATTGCTCCATATCAAAAAGAAAGTTGTCTAACTCCTTGGCATCTCGGGGCGCCACCATAGGCACGGGGTTCGGGCGCATACGCCCTAGTGAATTCCATGCCACCACTAGGTGCATTGCCAAAGGCACGGGTAAGAACACCAACCTGGCCACTGAGGTCTTCAAACTCTACTCTGAGTTCAGTGACAACATCCTCAAAATCTTGCCCTTGTGTAGGGCCATAAGTTTGCTCAAGATCATAAACCCGTTGCTCAATGGTGGCTAATAAAGCTGCCATGGCCTCCATGTTGTCCATACGCTGCTCCAAGAGCTCAATTCTCTCCCTTTGCGTGGGTTGACGGTTGCCAGTACCATCCATTTAGAAAGCCAATAATAGAGAAAGCCAAATAGACTGGACTCTGATACCAACTATCACACACTGGCAATGCGGAAGCCTTGACAAAGATATGCAAGTGTGTGTGGCTCTAGTTAACTCTCTTCACTAGTCCGCCAATAATGCTCAAAAGGTTTGCAAAGACAAGCAGACACAATATTAGTTAAGTTGATGAGCCACAAGATTGGAGACAAGCCACAAAATAGCAATCAATAAGCTAGAATTACAGTAAGCAACAATTGAAAGGCTTTGCACAATTTAAAGGAGAAATAAACTTTTCATTACTCAAAAAAAGGCATTACAATAGTTGAACAATGCACTAAAAGTGCTACAAAAGTTGCCTTACCATAAGCTAGGTTGGAGTACATTAAAGGTACAAGTGGTCTGGTTCAACACTTGGGTACCCCCTCTTTATATATAGCTTGTTAAGCCTTTCCCTAGCTGGCAGGAGGAAACATCCACTATGTTTGAGGAGTCATAATGGATTTTTAAAAATTCTACAAAAAGAGAAAAATTACAACTCTTGGTCCCAAAACACCATTAATACTAAGGTGTTTACATAAAAATTTACAAGGCAAAAGATTACATTTGACCCTCTAAAAGTTGGCCTAAAGTTGCTACTTGGTGGCTAGCTTGCGTCATGGCATGTCTTGGACTATCTTGCACTATGCCTTGGCCCTTTGCTTGGACTTGCACCAACAACTTCTTAGGCATGTCTTTGGCTCTCCAAAGGGCACAAATGTGTATGGCATCAAGGTGTTGACCCTTGGATGGACGCACCTTGACACTATGCCAAGAGCAATACCTTGTAGCTTCTCCCAACCAAGTGAACATTTTTCTTGATTAGATGATATAAACTTCTCTAACGAATCATTTGGCAAGTTCTCATAAGCGAGAGCTCTTTTAAATCCATCGGCACAGTATCTGACCAGGCAAACCACATTGATGTGGTGGATTCTGCCTAATGTTCCCATTTCGTTGATGAAGTCGTCCCCATTCCCCTTGACATCGTTGAGGATCTTGGCTGCAATGTGGATGTCATTGGAAAGTTTTCCCTTGTACACTGTTCCATAACCTCCTTGGCCTAGTTTTTCCTTAAAATTGTTAGTAATTTTCTTAATCTCGGCATAAGTGTATCTAGTAGGTTTGAGAGTTATGTAATCCTCCAAAAATCTTTCAATTTTTACTTGATCCTCTTTCTTTAATTTATTTGATATGTGGACAAAATATATTGTGACCATGACTACAAGAAGAAGAATCAAGCCAGGTGGTATCACACCTACAATTTTAACCAACAAAAATTAGGAATGAAAATTCCTTCTCCAGAAAAGAAGGGGAAAAATAAAAAAATCACAGGAGGGCATACAGATAATTCACCTTTAAGTTTGTTTCACCTGTAAAAGATAGACATGACCAGAATGTTTGTCATTCATAAAAATATATAATGTTTCTTATTTATAATTTATTTCCTAAAAGTTTTCAAGATGTAAGCTCTTTTTCAGTTGTCAACAAGGATCATAATTTGTAGAGAGATCTGATAGATACTCCAATGTCTCATGATAGCTGAAAATCCCGATTAATTTGTAGGCCTAAGTGACTCCTAACTGAAAGTAAAACACAAGGGAAAACTAATAGAGGAAGGAGTGCTTGAAATACCAGTAGTAATTGGTGGTGGGTTATGTATGTTATTGTCAAAGCATTCAATTTCTTTATGTTTCCTGCTGCTGTTGTTGTTATTATTCCTCCTCCTCAATCTACAATACTTGCCTATTTCTTCACACCTCCCATATATGGGCTTGGACCAACTCAATCGAAGTTCATTAGTATCTATATCAGGAGAACCAGATAGAGGGGAATCTATTGATGTTACGGGATATAACTTTTTGCAAGATAATAGGGACTGCTGAATTAAAAAATCATCAGGTACCGCATAGACCACGTGACCTTGGCTGCTGTTATGGTAATTATTTGTGATTGGAAATAGTGAATGTCTATAATATGCATATTCTATATCATACCATTCGAAAGGGTAGGCTTGCATTGTTAAGGAAGGACAACTGAAAAAGCTAAAATTACCTGGGTAATAATGCGGTGAGAATTTGAAGGGAGATGCTGATAAATTGTGGTTTAGATTTAGGAGAAGCTATTCTAGAAAGCAACTACTGGGGTCATATATATATAAAGACTGTTCTATGTAATTGATTTGCTAGACAAATACGGTTATAGTCACGAGCTCAAGCATGGTATGGTTGGATGGGGAGCAGGATAGTTCAAACCCGGGATAGCCACAATGATTTGGCTAGTGATCCTTTAGCCAGAATGGGAACCGGATGTCTGGACCATATTCTCCACACCTCTGTTTCACCGTACATTCATCTGAATTTAGTGGTCGTGCTCATGGTGCTTGTGGTGCTCCTACTGCCAATACTGCTCCTTGGAGTTGAAACAATAACAAGAGAAAAAGAAAGAGGAAGAAGAAGATCATGGCCATTTGCATACTAATTTCCTTGTGGAGTTTCAAATTCAATGCCTTCTTATCCTTATTTTTCATTATCTTCAAGTCAACATCCTCTTTGCAGAGCCGGCCCTGGCCCAAGGCAAGCAAGGCAGCCGCCTTGGATCCCAAATTTCGATATATTTTAAGGGCTCCTGAATAATTTTAACTTTTATGGTGTTAATAGGTTTAAAAATAAATGTCCAAACCAACTCATTTAACTTCACAATCTAAATTAAAAGTTTTTAGAACATGTCTAACTCTTTATTTTTTTTCCCATTTAATTTGATTATAGATTTGAGTACAAACTTGATTTAAATAAATGATTTTTTTGTTACTTATACACGAAGGGCTCCAATTTTAAGACTCCGCCTTGGGTCTCAAAAATCCTTTTGCCAGCCTTGTCTCTATCTTCATGTCAATATCCTCATTCTGTCTCTATCTTCAAGTCAGCTGTGTTGACAAAATCAAAACAAAACTGCCATAGTTTGAAGTTTAACCCACTTTGTTGCATTTACTAGGCTGGTATGGTTTTCTATGTGACTATTTTAATTTTGAGCAACGAAATAGTTGGCCAAATCACATTCCAATGATAATATAATAGAGGTGATGTGAGTATATGGTTTGATTTGGTTCAGTTCGATTTAGGAACAAATCAAGAACCAAACCACTATCTACGATTCAACTCTCTCTAATTTAGAACCAAACCAAACTATAAAAATTTTAAAACCAAATCAGACCGAATCAATAAAATGAGGTTCAATTTGGATTAAAGCCACGATTCTCACAAAATATGGATTACAACTTACTCAAACGTCAAACAATATGCCATTAGTTTTCAAACAAAAATTATTTAAATAATTACGTAGAAGTAATTTTACCACTAATTACAAGCCTAAGTCTACTTTTCTTAAATTTTGATACTTTTTTAGGTAACATAAGTTGCAGAAAGTTATTAATAACTTGTGTATATGTGGTGGGGGTATTAATCAAGTAGTTGGGGGTATTATTAACAAATTATATATATTTAAACGGTTCGATTAGGACCATTGAGAAAACTAAACTAATCCTTACAATTTGATCTAGATCAGACCGGTTTATGAGTTTTTTTTTTTTTTTTGATATTTTTGCATAGCCCTATAATATAATATTATAACACGAGCCTTGAAATTATTAGCCACAGCAAGGGGATTTGGGCAACTACAAACAGACTCATTATGATATGATCTTCCTTCCCTTCTCTTCCCTTCCATCATCCATCCATGTCTAGGCTTCTTTTCTCCATTCTTCAATTTATGATGCTTTAAGAACAAGTGATAGGAACTGTGATTCTTCTTCTTGTGGGAACATTCAAAACATCAGATGCCCATTTCGATTTGAAGGTGACCCAGAAAATTGCAGAAACAAGCGACATGAACTGGCCTGCCACAACAATCGTCCACTGCTTGACTTATCATCTGCAGGTGATCCTAAATAGTACTATGTACGGGCAATTAACTACAACAACTACACAATTCGAGTCGTGGATATGGTCATTCAAAATGGAAGTTGCTCCTCTCTCCCTCTTTATTCTTTATCCTTTAAAAACTTCCATGGTCCTGCTTTTTATTATGATGATTATAATGTTAGGTCCCTTAGTCTTGTCAATCCCATGAACAAACATGTTTTATCAAGTTGCAATTTTCCTAAGTCTGTTGTCTTGCTCGCTCGAGCGAAGGAGTTCTCGCTCGAGCGAAAGCTGCTTTTGTTTGTCAAAAACCTAAGAAGGATTATTGTACGCTTAAGCGTAGGTAGCGTGGCTCGAGCAAAGCCACTTAAGAAAAACACGCATATTTGGTTCCTCGCTCGAGCGAGAGAGTCTTCCCTTGAGCGAGCTTCGCTACCCCTGTTTTCTATAAGTACTTGTTTAAGTCCAAATCTAGGATTACATTTTTGAGATCTTTAAGGTGTTTAGGGTTTTCTTTTTGGGTTGTTTGCCAATTTTTCTTGATGTTTTGATTAAGTATTAAACTCATGTTTTGATAAGCACACATCAAGGAGGTTGATTGTTTATATTCAAGAGTGTTCTTCTTCGATGGAATTTGGAGATTCAGGCTTGGAGTATCAAAGGAGTTTGATACTGTGCGTGGTCGTTGATTCGACAATAGAAGTTGTGAATTCAACTTCACTCTAATCAATTTCGAGACGAAGGTGGCAATGAAAGATATACAGAAGATTTGAAGACAAATTGGAAGCGTTTGGGTAATTTGTTTATTATCTTTATAATCTTTCTTTCTTCAATAGTGGATTGATTAGTGGTGTTTCGCCCATGGTTTTTTTTATCACAATTGAAGGTGCTTCAATTGTGGTTTTTCCATGTAAAAATCGTTTATGTCGATTTATTGTTTTTCGAAAACAATAATCTAAATCATCAAGCATTACTTTCGTAAGTGCTTGATGATTTAGATTGTGAGTTTTAATTGATTGGGAATTGGAATGATTAAATCTTGATCTAATCACGAATCACTTAGGTTTTTCAATTGGTATCAAAGCAGGTCACTCTTTGTTTTTATCAAAACTATAGGAGTGTGATTTTGTGTGATTGGTGATATGGATTCAATTCGTGAAGGTAGCTCGACTCATAGACCTCCATTACTTGATGGTACAAACTATTCTTATTGGAAAGTTCGTATAAGAGCATTTTTAAAATCTATCGATGAGAAAGTTTGGCACTGTGTGATCTATGGGTGGAGTGAACCTAACGTCACCATTGATGGTGTTGATATTCCTAAACCTCTTGATAAATAGGACATATTCGATTATCAAAACTCGAGTTAGAACAGTAAAGCTCTCAATTCCCTTTTTTGCTCCGTCACACCTGAAGAGTTTCGTCGTATTTGCACGTGTGAGGTATCAAAAGAGGCTTGGGACATCCTTGAAACGATTCACGAGGGTACTACTTCTGTTAAAAGGTCAGAGCTTTAACATCTCACCTCTGCCTTTGAAACACTTTTTATATGTGATGATGAGACGTTTGATGATTTTTATGCTAAACTTAGTAACATCGTGAATTCCTATTTCACACTTAGTGAAAAAATCCCTGAAGCTAAGGTTGTTAGAAAATTTTTGAGGTCTTTACCCGAGAGGTTCCAATCAAAAGTGACAGCTATTGAGGAGGCTCGGAATGTTGATACCCTCAAGCTTGATCAGTTGGTTGGAAACTTGCAGACTTATGAAGCTCACCAGATTTCTAAGAAAAAATAAAAAGATAGTGTGGCTTTCACTAGTGCTCATGAGACTGCAAAACTCTTAAGACTGAGTTTGATCTAGAGTCTGAGATGATGGCTATGTTTACTAAACAGTTCAAAAAAAATTTAAAGAAAAAGAAGCCTAATTTTAGAGACCCTATTTCAAAAGACGAGAGTAATGATATACCCAAAACTTTTCCACCAAAACTTGCTCCAAAAATTGAAAAGAAGATGGTGAAAGGGCAGGGGGTCAAGTGTTATGAATGTCAAGGGTTTGGACATATTTCTCTTGAATGTCATCGAAAAAGAATCGGAAGAAAGTCTATATAGTGACTTGGGATGATGAAATCGGGTCGGAGCAAGAACCCGAAGAAACTGAATCAAGTGAAGATGGGGGATAACGCTTTCATGGCATTTTGGTCCACTTTCACTCAATCTTTTCTGAAGCCAGTGGAATTTGCTCGTGGTCAGAATCTACACCATGCTCCCACCTTTGATGGGAGTAATTACTTGTATTGGAAGATCAAAATGAGGGCGCTTCTGAGAGCGTTCGACCCTGAAGGCTGGCAAGCCATTAAAGAGAATGTTGAAAGTGTTGACAATCCGAGCAATCAGAGAGTTCTGATTACTGTTTGTGAAGCAATTTCTGATGAAGAACAGTAACGGGTTGCTCACTACACAAAGGCCAAAGATGCATGGAACATTCTGAGCCAATTTCATGAAAGAGGAGAGTCATCTTCACCACCATCTATCACCTTTCCTACCTTAGTTGCTCGACTGGATGAGGTCCAGGAGAAAGAGGAGTAAAAAGAAGATGATGAAACATCAGAAAACAATGATGAGATTGATGGTGATGACCTACAACAAGCTTACGAAAAGCTTTACGATGAATCTCTAAATTTGTCCAAGATCAATGACAAACTCACTCTTAAGCTAAAGAATGTAAAAGCGAGAATGTCAAGCTAAAAGGAGAACTTGTAACAGAAAAGCAGAATGTCATCAAGATCTCTAGTGATAGGCAAGACCTACGTGGGAAACTTCTATCTTGTGAGACTGAAAAGAATGAACTCCTGAAAATATATTCCACATATGAAGAGGAGATTGAAAGCCTTGAGATGTCACAAGCTACATTGGAAGAGATAGTTTGTCATAAAGATGAAGAACTTAGAATTGCTAGAGCCACAATTGCCATGTGGAACAAAGGTTCCAAGTCATTAGAAGACATTCTCGGGTCTCAACAAATGGGTTGTGACAAAAATGAGCTAGGCTATGGTAATGCAACAGCTCACAAAGGACAGGCCTCTACATCTCATGACCTGA